ATGGGAAGCAGGTGTGGGAATGCTGGTAATGTTCTAGATCTTGATCTGGGTGGTGGTAGCCTGGGTGAGTTCAGCTGATAAAAATTCAACAAACTGCACAATTACAATCTTTTAACCTTTCTACATGTATCTTATCCTTCAATAAAAACTTTATATTCACAAAAGAACTAAACTGTTGGTGAAATTCATACATTTTTTAGTGGGGATCACCATCACTTTCTCAGGGTTTATGCCAGCAAATTAGCCAGCAAAGTACAGGGGTAAGGAAAAGGTTGGCAATCATAAAACATTTAAGGTTTTAAATCTTTGAGCCTAAAAGCTTTAAGTTTTCCATGTAATAAGCATTATCACTAAATTACAAAAGTTTCAGAGGCGTGACTGCACTGGAGAATAGTGTTCATAGGCATTTCTTTCAACAAATTATTACTTAATTTTTGTTCTCACTATGGCATTCCTATGAAAGCAGAATGCTTGAATATCAAACCGTCGCCTTAAATAGATTGCCAACTAACACACCCACACAGTACTTTGTTCTTGTATTTGTTTTCAATGGGCCACTTGAAAATGTATTTAAATGGCTGAAGACTAACAGAAGTGAATTACTGAATTGTGCTTAAAATAGTCTATGGGAAGAATAATTCCATGACAGAAGGCCAGTAAACCCTTTGACTTCTCAATGCCAAAGTGTTTCTGCTTTTCTGTGGTTTTTTAAAATCATTGTTCTTTGTTGATTCTAACAATACACTTTAAATACCGTTTTTCAAACTTGTGCGCCAAAGAATCACCTGGTCAAGTTGTTAAATATGCAGATTTCCAAGCTCACACTGAAAACGCTGAAGACTTTAAACACTGCATTTTTCATGCTCCAAATAACTCCATGAAGATACTTTAGTGGGCTACATTTTGAGAAACACTGCTTTAATCTCTTGTCAGCAGATCATAGCTATGTAGAGTGATGTTTTGACTGTGAATTGGCTGCGCCTTTTTCTTCTGGGTATTTTTTGCTGTTGATCACAAGAATTATGGGTCATCTTTATTTGAAGCAAAGGGTTTAAGTTGCTACAGAGTGAAGTGGATATGAGCAAGCAAATGGAGAACTCTTGAAATTGAACCTGGACTTTAGAAGCTGCTATCAGCTCCTATCATGAATCCCTTAATGCTCAGACAAAGCTGAAATGATAGATGGAAATGAAATGATAGATGGAGCTGAAATGATAGATGAAATTTAGGCAGGTGCTCCTTGAACTACTGAAGTTTATGAGTTTTATAGCCTCAGAATTCTAAAGCTATTTCTGGTGCATGTAGTTTCATTCCATCTTAATGGGAACAAAGAAGATCTGTGCCCCACAACCCAACATTTTTGTTTGTCAAACTTTAGATAAAAGGATGAGATAAAACACATCTTTGCCCACACATTACACCTTTACTACCCGTCTGGCTGGAACTAATCAAGGTGAAGCTGAATCAATGACTCAACACCAATTACCCTACAGGCATGAATTCACGGAGCCATGAAATAAATATATGTAAGGAAAAAACAGCATTTCTTTTTCTACATTTGACATTCTTTTTTCCCCCCTTAATGCATCTCTAGGAGTATTTCTAGAGCATTGGACTGTTTTGCTGTGGAAATGAATGGCTTTCCCATTTCAAAGCTTCCAAGTGCTAGCATGCCAATGAAGAGTATACATTACGTAATGAAAGTGAGCCGAGCTATGTGATTACCATAATCCAATTTTAAGCTAGCCTCTCAAAACTTCTTTTCACCCTCCAGTATCTACCACGGCCACAGATGTTTCCTAGCTTGCAAAGATCAGCAATGATACAGATTATAATATCACAGTTTGCAGCTGTCATGCTTTTCCGCTGCCCAGCATCCTTTGACATCTTTGAAGTCTCTTGCTCATGAAGGCAGAGAAGAAACCAGAAAAACTACCATGCTTGACCCAAATTTTAGAATATCGACCTGATTTTAAAGTAAAAATAACAAGATTCCAAAGTGACAGCTTTGGCCTCCGTGCCAGTTTTAAAAAAAAGGTCTATTGATGTTTTGACAGATAGGTGTTGTGTTGCCATTTTGTATGGCATTTTCTTTATTGTTTTGTCAGAGTTAGGACTTGTTAAAGCATATGACTCATGGAGAGTCCAGTTTGGCTGAGACAATGGCTACGTCCCTGGCTGGTTTATGCCACTTCCATTTGCTGCATTCTTTTCCCATCTGGCTTCTCCCCAGGAATTTCACTTTCTGCTTTCTCTTTCTAATTCAGCCCAAGAAAACCTCTCCCTCCTCTTTTTCCAAGATTCCAGTGAAGTTGATCTCAAAAGGCAATTTTTCCACCTACATTTTGACTTTGTGTGTAATACTCTGGGTGACTGAACTAGTCCACGGTGAAGTATATCTGCTTGTCTCCCAGGTAACCTTGCCTCTAAAATGAGCTTAGCATTTGATTCATTTCCGTAGTTCAAATCTGCACTTTCTTATTTGGAGCCCTATCAAAGCCAAACTGTTTCTTGATGGGCAGTTCCTGGCATATAGTAGGCACTCAAATATTTCTTGGATGAATGGATGATGTTTACCATCTGTATGCCTTCCCCTTCCCACACACTTAAAAAAGAGCATTAGCTTTATGAGAAAGAACCACCCCTACGGGATGATGAAGGGCTATATTTTTGTGCATTTAATGGGAAGTACCAAGTGAATATTCTTCAATGCACATATTTACTTCTACTTAAGAGGAAAAAATATTTTTCCTTATAATCTACCACCCGCTATTCTAAACAGGTAGTTTTATTTCTGGTTTGCAATTCTGAGCCCTGAAAGCATGGCAGTAACGTGGTTAAGGAAAAAGAACAATCACCTGGTTGAAGAGGTGGGTAGAGTCACCGTGGACCATGTGCCTTCTTTGGTCCCTTTCTCCTGGCCATCCTTCCTGTTTGTCTTTCTGTTTTCTAGTTTGTCTTCCAGGGTCCTGTTCAAGAGATGTAGGCACTGAGTTAGAAATTAGAGTATGTAAATGTATCAAACCAACACCATTATACACCTTACCCTTACATAATGTTATATGTCAATTATATATCAGTAAAAATAAATATAAATTAATAAATAAACATTGCAATAACTACCCATTTACTTTTCTCTAAAACAGGATATCAAAAGTTTGAACAGAAGTTGACCTACAATAGTATCAGCTGAAATACTTATTTTAAGATACAGATCCTTAGACGCACTACAGACTTCCTGATTTATGGTCTCATGGGTTGAGGGTCTGGGGTCTGTGATTTTAGCCAGAACCCTAGACATTTACATTGTATTTTTACTTTTGAGACTCAGCTGCCCTTCATCAATGATGCATCAACTCCAAGCAGGAAAATTAAATAAAAGACAGTTCCGCATGCTTTTATCTCATTTGCAGATCTTCCCACTTTATAGTAAAAAAGCCCCCTTAAAAATATCTGCTGACTGCATAGAACTATGAGTACTATTTCAAAATTAAATGAAGGGTGCCAATTACATTATTTGATGACTGTAACTTATTGTTGAAGGACAAAGTATATCTAAAAAAAAAGTTTTCTTTGAAATCCAGTCATTTCAGAACAATTATTTTCACTTTTCCATTTTTGTATCTTTTTTTGTGGACCTCTGTACCACTTTGTTTATCTTTCCCTTCTTCCCTCCCTCCTCTTCTCCAAAAACTCTAAGTCCAGATCCTTTTCCCATAGTAACCCATACCTATGATCTCATCTTCACACTTAGGAACATGATGTCATTAAGAGAATGAATGCTGCAGTCAGATCTTGCTCCTATACTTAGCAACTGTGGAATACTGGACAGATTGTGCAACATCTCTCAATACCTGTTGCCTCAGCCCTGATAACTAAGTATTTACGTTATAATGCTGCTGTGAGATATGAATGAGACTAATGTATGTAAAGTGCTTAACAAAGATTCCAGCAGTCGTTACTTATTAGGTTTTGTGGTTATGAATTAACGTGACCACACAGGAAAGAGTGTGTTAAAGAGAAAAGTAGAGTCCATATGTTAGGAGACCTTAAATATTGTGGTGTTTGTAGGTTCTGAAGATAGGAAAATCAGGAAGACTTGGTCCCTGCCCTCTAGTTATTGATAGTTTTATAGGAAAAGACAGATAGATGTCTAATTTTATCCATAAAATATAGTATGTGCGATGCTGTAAGAGGATGAAGAGTTCCATGGAAACACTAAAGAGAGTGATCAGCATTTCCATTGTTCAGGGTCAATTACCTCATTGTTAAGTGCATACATATATAATGGGAGGAAATTAAAATAGTTCCCTTAATTGCAGTTATTTCTTTCTATTTAAAATGGCACACATATTATGTCCTGACTCAAGCAGGCTTTTATGTGCAATAGATAAAGCTTCCTTGAGACACCCACTCCACCTGATTGAATACTGACATAATGAATACTGAAATATATGTTGACTACTAATGTAAATGCAATCCCTTAGATTTGTTCAGTGTACAACCTATACAGCCATCCAAGGCAATCCTATAACTACAAAACATTTATCTCGCACTGACTTTAATTATTTTGTTTGACAAATAGTTAGGATAATTTTTCTGATGTAGACAAGCATCACGATTCTGAACCTATGATCTTGTTACCATCATGGCCCAGTGTGAAGGATATATCATACTTAGCTGAGTAAGATTGCTATCATTGTCTAGTAGTTGGATTGCTATGTTAACTGCAGTGAACATGCCCCCTAGGTGGACAGAGGAATTCTGAATAAATCACCTAATAAATGCTTCCTCCTCACAAAACCGTTATAAAGGGAAGAGATGTAATATATAAAAAGTACAAAACCTACAGTGTTCTTCTATTATATATTGTCTCAGACGTTTAGAATATGTTATTGCAGATTCATTGAAAATAACCTCACAACACGTATCAATAACATATTCAGAATTAGGAATCACATTTTTGTCTCCTTCTCACTGTCTGTGTTTACTGTCTGTAGTTGACACTCCAGATCCCTACGTGGAACTTTTCATCTCCTCAACCCCTGACAGCAGGAAGAGAACAAGACACTTCAATAATGACATAAACCCTGTGTGGAATGAAACTTTTGAATTTATTTTGGATCCTAATCAGGAAAATATTTTGGAGGTAATTGAGTTCTTTCAGGACTGTTCGTGGTTGTCATTATGCTGAAGTTGATGCTTGAGTTTGTCCCCTTACTGCCGTCTTTCTCCTCAGTGAGGTGGAGCCCAGCTGCACAGGGGGGTAGGTCAGTTTCTAGATGGTGCACACATCATGTTATGTGAGCATCCAATGGGAAATCTAGACGTTAGTTAGGGAGGAACCTTTTATCTTCCTCAGGTGCTTTCAAGGAAACATATTTTCCCTTAAGAGGAGGATCCAAGTACAACAGCATAAAAAGATTGTCAATAGATTATCACTTTAAAATCAGTTAACTTTTTTAACTTAAAAGTTTTTAATGAAAAGTTAAAATAATTCAAGGTAAAATAGATTTTTCCCAAAATAACTGCATGCATTTTCTACATTATTTCTCACATTCCAAAGTGGCATTTCCCCTGAGAGGCAATTTTCCATTTTGGGGAACAGGATAATGAGTAGGTCAATGAGGAAAATGAAAAATTAATTATTGTATTAGTAGCAAACGTATTCAGGAAGAAAAGACAAAGTATTTCTATCAGTTGACTACTGAGGATCTCAAATGACTGTTAGAGGTCATTTGAGAACTTTCATTTTTAAAATATGACAGAGATTTTAGATATAATGGCTAAAGATCTAAGGAAAATTTTGTATTTGTGCTCCACCTTTCACTCTCTACAGATCACATTAATGGATGCCAATTATATCATGGATGAAACTCTAGGGACTGCAACATTTCCCATATCTTCTATGAAAGTGGGAGAGAAGAAAGAGGTTCCTTTTATTTTCAACCAGGTAAGCAACACAACACAGTAGTAATTTTTCAGCCTTATGTCAGATAAAATATGTTTATTCTGGAAAGTTTGGTGTAATGTTTGGAAATTTTATTTATTTATTTATTAGAATGTTTTGTTCTTTAAAGAGAAAACTTTCTTTTCCCTTCTACTACTTGGTCAAATCTTTTACTATTCTGATATCTATAAACTTTGGTTAAGTTAATGACACTACATACTACAGAGGCATTAATCTCATTTGTTGTTCCAAATCATAGCACTGGGTTTAAGCAATGGCTTTGAACTCCACTGGCAATTCTAACACAGAACTTTGGGGAGGATGAAGGGAAGTACAATCTTAGAGGAATGGCACAGAGAGAGAGTTAGAATGAGTGAGTGAACTCAAAACTGTTGGGAATCCAAACTATTTCAAAATTTCATGATTAATAATAACTTGAGCCTCTGTGGAAGACTGTTTCCGTCTCCAATAATCCTCAAATAATTGAAGCAGTAGAAGGTCAACAGGAATGGCCTTGAGGTCACTGTTATCTTTATATTTGTAGGTTTGTTGTATTTCTGAAATTTAAGCAATTTATTTAGGAATAATAAGACCCCAGAAAAAAAATGTGTACAGAGCAAACATTGGATTTTGAATTTTATACAAAACTAATTGAGTAGTTTGCAGTGAGAAATGGAGACAACTGGTAGACCCAGTATGCAGAAGGCTGGTTAATGTACTAATTTTGTTGTGGGAGAGGCTCTGTGTTTTTTGCTGATCTTTGGAATGATTTTTCAAATCCTTCTCCTCACCCAAATCTGCTAATCCCTTAACTCTCATTTCTTTTCCTAACCATTACCATCCCAAGTGACCTCTTCCTCCTCTGAACCCCATGGTAATTATCTGTGGTATTCATTGGGACTGGATCATTAAACTGTTCAATTTTCCATCCCCCCACCAACCCCTAAACTAAAATCCTATAGGTCAGGAAACTGGAATATGCCTAATTACGGAGTTAATATATAGTTCATATTTACTGAATGAATGTATACCTATACTTAGAAACCAACTTAAGCCTGAAGGGGTACCTGATCAAGTCACACCATCAGAGTGCCCTGAGGATTCTCTGGTCACACATTCCTTGCTGATCCCTGCAGCTGCTCCAGGAAGCATGTCTTCTGTATGTCTTACACCCAGTGCCAAATGATATACTGCTCATGTTTCTGTTGGCCTCTTTTAAGCTTATTTCATTCTTTCTTTTTGCAAACATTTATTGAAGTCATCTGTGTACCAGCCATAGTGTTTTATGTTAGGAATGTAAAGAAGAATAAGATCAAGGAAGTTCTTCCCTCAGTTACCTCTGGGTAGAGGTAAGGTAGGGTTTGGAATGGGTGGTAGGCAGGAGGATACATGCATGTGATAAAAATAAACCATCATACGGTGAGATACATATCAATGAGGTGTGCACAGAATATACTGAGAAGATTGAATAAAGAAAGATTGTCTTATGAAAGGAGGCTAGGGATGACTGCACGTCAGTAGGTGGTTTTGAACAGGTTGAACAGTGAACATAGTGGTTAACTGCTTGGCATTTGAAGCCAGGCTGGTGTTTAAATCCCAGCTCTGTCCCTTACCATCTGTTTCATCCTGGGGAAATCACTTAGCTCCTCTGTGCCTCAATTTACTCATTTGAAAGTGGACATAACAGCTCATAGGAGAGTCATTTGATTAAACAAGTTAATTTCATTCATATAAAGCATGTCCATATAATAATGTATAATATAATGTATACTATATATAAATATATTTAAATATGTTAGATATAATTTAATTATAATTTCATATGATTCATTGTATCAAATATAGATAATCTATTACTTCATTTATATATTATTTAATTTATTACATACTAAATATATAATGATAATTGATAATAGAAATATATATAAAAACTATAGAAACATGCATGTATCCATACATATATATAGTGCTCAGAACATATAGTGCCTGGCACATACTAAGCACTCTGTAAATGTTTGTTGCTTTTGATCTTGTTGTGGTTATTATACTTTGAGAAAAGAGTAGGATTTCAGCAGGCAGAGAAGCAGTTATGAACATTCTAGGCAGAAGAAACTGCAAGCAGGTTGGGGCATGGCAAGTTACATAGCTTGGCAGGTACATGTGGGCGCAGAGTGGGGTAAACAGTTTAGAGATGGTCAAAGGTTAACATCTGCAGACCTTACCTATGGTATGTTGCTAGGATCTGCTCTCTATAAATGTTTGTTGAGGGTTTTGTAAGCATGTTCTGGCCTTTCCAAAGTATAATCTATTTTTCTGCTCTCCAGTCTATGACACAAAGAGTGATTATGAGAGAAGATATTACAGGGAAAATGCATTTCCTCTCCTCCTGTCATTTCCTATGATTAGGTATATAACTTCTAGGTTCTAGAAAAGGCTTTCTACAGGCCTGAACTTTAAGTCGCTTACATAGTTGTTTTCTTTAGGGTCCCTGAGGAAGCAGTTGGCCAAACAGCTTTTTTTCACTCTGTTCTCAAGAGTGACACCTGAATGACAATTCTTTGAGCTGATGACCTGAGATGGTAGTGGGGAGGGAGGTAAATGCGAGGCCACAAGCCTCTCCTTATCTCTGAATCCCCACTCTTCAGAGGAGGGAGGTCTTCTTTAAACAATTCTTGAAGATGATTGATGATGATCTGGTATAGAAAAAGGGCACTTGGAATTGGCAAATGGAGAACACATGCTTCAAGCCAAGATATTATTAGCCAAACCTTCTTCAAAATTTTGTCATCCAAAAGTTAATACTGAGTCAACATAGAGTCATTTCTGTGGCCAGGCCAGGAGAAAGAACAGGAGCCTCCAAACAGATACTGCCAGTTTCCAAGGGTCTGCCCTACCCACTCAGGGTGGGAATAGGGGATTGGGAGACCCGGACACTTTTGTCTCTGTCACTAACTAATCTCTAGAGTGTTTGAGCTGCCAATGCTTCTCTCTGGATCTTCTTTTCTTTATCTCTAAAATAAAGGTTTCGATAAACTTATTTCTAAGATCCTTTCCAATTTATAAAATTTTTTTATCTAGAAAGAATACTTTATTTTGCATTTGATTATTTCACCCCAGAGCTTGTGATTCTTCCCATTTTACAGATATGGACATAAAATAATAACACGATACTAAGAATCTTTATTATATAATTTTAAAATACTGATCGGTCAATAGAGTATTGTTTAATATGAGAGTTTGAGCTTTTATTATGCACTTAAGACTTGGCTAAATATTAAGAAAGTTAGCAAAAGCTCCACTTTCAAAGAACTAATTATCTATTTGGAAAGGAGGAGACGGTCATGTAACAGAATAAGCATTATCATTAGGCATCTATTCATCAGTTTACTTATTTAGGAGTCATTTATTAAGCACGTAGTATGTTCTAGGCAATATTCTAGATGACGGGCAAATACCAAGGAGGAGAGTATAACAGCAACACAGAGGAAGAGTAGTCCAGAGAGTGGTAGGAGATGCAGAGGGGGACAGAGAGGCAGACGGGGGTGGATGACAGTGGGCCACTGCGGGTTACAGGAGATATCAATGGCTTAGGCTTGTCCTGTAAGGAAGGATGTGGTTGGATCACTAAATGGGGTGAAAAGCCCTTCTGGTGGAGAAAACAGCCTGAGCCATTGCTCACAGTCATGGGACTAGAAAGGGCAAGCACGTCCAGGAAACAGTGTCTAGACAAGTGTGAGGGGAGCAGAGCATTCGTGCATGAAGGAAGAACAGGTACAGTGGGATCAGACCTCATCAGGGCTCGAGCTGGAGATGTTGAAATTTGGATGTTATCTTACTGGCAGTAGTGAGCCATGGTAAGGTTTGGCCAGGCATTCAAAATCATTAGCAAGCCAAAAACTAGTAGGTAAGATACAGAAAATGTTTGACATTGGAAACAAAAAGGGTGAGGCAGTGTTAGCAGACTACGCCTGTGGAATGTGCTGGTGTGAAGAGCACAGCGTGACTTGAGGAAGTCAGTGCAGCAATGGCTTTAAGGTGTCAATCAGAGTTGAATGGGAGGACTGCTTAGTAGCAGTGAGGATTGGTGAAAGTTGGGAAGCAGGATTTTACAGTGGATCCAGCTCTTCATGAGATCATGATTTACCACTCAAGTCAATTTTAGAACTTCATTTTTTTTTTTGAGGAGAAAGTGTCTCAGGGCCTGGGTCCACAGTTGTTGCTTTCCAGCTAGCATTTATAAGATCTGGGTTAGGCTGTGTTTGTTGGAGCCATAAATTTAGAGAGCCTCAGAGTCCTCATTGGACAGAAATTGGGAGGACTTGATGCTTTCCACCCCAGGCTTGGGGTCCGACAGCTATCGCCTAGGCTGGAGTTATCTGCTCACTGTGTGATGTTGGACAAGTTATTGTTTTACCCTTTCCATGCATCCTCATCTGTAAAACAAGGTTGTATCTAGTATCTTCCTAATAGGATGGTGGTTAGGGTGGAACTGCCTCAATTATTAAGGTCCCTTACTTGTTTGAACTTAAGTGACTAAAATGAACTTATTTATATATAGGTAGAGCCTATAAATTTAGTGATCATTCAGTGCAACACAGAAAATGCTCTCTTTACTCATTACTGAATATGCTCAAGTGTGGCCTTGGTTTATAGTATCCCATTTTAAAGTGAAAAGATATAGTTTCTTCACAATTTAGTGTATTTTGTGTAAGCAAAGTAGCCTCCTTCAAGAGAATCATGAAAATGCTAAGGTTTTGAAGTGAGACAGAAAGATTTCACTTCTTTATGTTCTAGATGAAATTACGTGTTTTGGGCCGGTAGTTTGAGGATGGTAGCTTCTGTGTTTATATTGCACGATGTAATCTGCCATCTTTACTTAGAAGTTAGTATTGTTGTCTAAAAATAGCCATATATCATGGCTTTTGGGGTACACAGTTTTGGCCAAGTGCTCTCTGACTACTGCTTGTTCATAATTGCAACATGAAAGCAAATGAAGTAATTCT